CGCCGCAGCGCTGGGCCAGAGTGGCTGGTGCTTTCCCGCTGGGGCCGCCGCGAGGGCGCGACTGGGCAAGCGACATCAATGCTGGCGTCGCGGCGCCAGCTACCCCGCCTGCCGATGTGCAGGTGTCGAGCTGGGCCTACCTGCCACCATTCTGGGCACCCGACATGTGCGATCCATGTGGATCGAGCCCCATGTGGCCATCGCAGTCCGCGCCGGTAGCCGTGTCACCGCCGATGCCGGAGTCTCCAAGCGATCTGGCTATCTTCAACCAGCGCGCACCCAGTAACGTGAGCCAGCCGCCTGGGAGATTGGGCGCGCGCTGCGCCGGCCGCGACGCCCGGGTGTCCAGCGGCGCGCGATCGGAACTTTGAATGGGCCCCACGCTCGACCGCGCGCAACGACGACACCGCGACGACCTCCACAACGCCCAGCTTGAATTGGAGCTCTTACGACATCAGGACAAGCAGCGACGACGAGCCGCGCAGAGTTGGACAGCAACCCCTACTAATCCACCTCCAGTGCCAACTGCCGCGCTAGCCGCGCGGTCTTCGACGGCGACGACCAGGGATCTCCCATCAGCATCGAGGTTTTCGCGCATGGTGATCGAGTTGCACGCCTGCAGCGCAGCCGCAACTGGCGCCGGGCGTGCCGCCTGCAAAACGCCAGCGCCCACCTGGCGCACTGCCCGGCGTGCCGAGGCCCCGCTGACGTCGCCGCCGAGTTCTGTTTCATTGGCGCTACGGCGGGCCCCGCAACTGCGTTGCCGGCCCGCGTGGCAGACCTCGGCGCCCCGGGCCCGGCGCCCGCGGCGCTGGCCCGGCTTGTGCCAGACGACGGCGCGCCAGAGGAGACACCGCCGCAGCGCGGTGCCTTCCAGACTCCTCGGTCCGCGCCGACGCCCGGGACACCGCGGCAGGACCTTATGCGTTCTCCGGGAAATGTTTTTAGTTTTGCGCCCGCTGCCGACGCGGCAGCGCCGCGCGACGCCCGCGCAGTCCAGGGTGCTTCGCCGCGCCGACGGACGGGGCCGCGGCGGCTAACCTCGCGCGGCGCGGGCCCGAGTCCACCGACCGACTCGCCGTGCTACTTGGCCAGAACCGACCTCCCAGGCGGCCGGCTTGGCGTCATTGTGGATATTCGCGTCTGGACCTATCTCTGGGGGCATCGTTCCGCGATGACACTGGCCGATGACGCCGTGGAGCCGAGGCCCCGGCCCACGGGGGAGAGGCTGACGTCCCTGCGTGGACGGAGTGGGCAACGGCTCGCACGCTACCCAATGAAAGGTGCGCTGCCCTATTGCGGTTGTCACCCGCGATCGCGTGGCTACCCGGCGCGGCGCGCGTGTTTCTGCAGTGGGAGGCGATGGTTTCGAGCTCCCTGCCTTTCTCGGTCTGCAACCCGCGCAGTCCAACAGCGGTGACGCGGAAACAGGCGTAGCGCGCAAACGCCTCGCGTGTCCCCGTTCTGGAGGCTACGGAATCAAGTGGGACCCAAGCGCCATGTACGTCGACTTAGAGTCAGCTCCAAGTGGTCACCTATGCATGCCAGGCGTCAATTTTGACTTCCTCCAACCACCGACCGTGGGACTACCACCCAAGCAGCTCGCATTACTAGAAGTGGGCAACGCCCACCAGGACAGCGACGTCATAGCCGCCCGCGGGTTAAAAAATCTCGAAGTACAACTTCTTAGCCCCAACGCACCAGCACCAATGCGGGGCGCGCCTCATGCAGCAGGCTACGATCCATTCGCTTGCGCGGGCGCCAGCGTTGCGACCAGTGGTCGCGTTTCGCGTCTACGCGCGCGGCCGCTCTTTTGCCGCCAGGCGCTGGCCCGCGGATTGCCCCGCGCCCAGGACTGGCCCTCGAAGGCGTCGACGTCGCGGGCGGAGTGGTGGGCCCCGACTACCGCGGCGAGACCAACGCGGTCATGCGCAGCGCTCGCCCGCGGACGTTCGTGGTCGAGCAGGGCCAGAGGATCGCCCAACTCATCCTGGAGCGCGTCATCGCGGACTCCGAGACAGGTCATCACCGACCTTCCTCGGTCCCCCCGCGGCTCTGGGGGCATCGGCCACGCTGCCATGACATGCTTCAGCTACGACCCCAGTCCGCAGGAGTCAGGCACAGCAGCACCTGCGGGGTCTGAGGGTAATTATTTCACCGAAGACCCCGTGCAGCCCGCAAGGCTGGCCCAGCCGACCTGCCCAGGCAGGAGTGGGCCACAAGTCCAGGCCGTCCCGTCTGGGTCTTGAGAGGAAGGGGCGCGCCACTAGCATTGCAGGAGTACGGCACCGACGTCATGCGCACCGCATCCTGCGCGAGCGCCATCAGGTCCTTGTCGCGACACGAACCCGGGTGGAGTGCACTGCATTCTTGACCCCCCTTCCCACTCGGTGCGCCTGGGTCAAGGGCTCTGGCGCCGGGGTCGTGATCTTCGGACTGCGCCGACCACAGTGGCGACGCGCGGCTTTAGAATGGATCACTGACGCCAGTGTGTTAAACCATTGCAAGCATCGGGCTTGCCGCGAGCCTGTCACTCTGGAGGGTATGCGCAGTGGCGTATCCTGTATGACGTCGCGCTCGGGGAGCACCGCAACGTCTGGGCGACTACGAACAGGCATGCCTATCTGGGCTTGATGCGCCGCGATGCGTAGCGTATTGCGCCCTTTCTGCCGTTGTGCTTCAACGACCTGCAGCGCGCCGTTGAGGGCGCGCCCTCGTCGAGGCACAGTACCAGCTTCAGCGCTGGACTCGAACGCCAATTCCTGTCCTACGGTGGCTGGCAAGCACGACGCCGAGCAGCACACCAAAGACCAGAACAACCAGCAGCACAACCAGGACCTCAACCACAGCTCCCACAACCGCTTGATCTGCCTGAGCAGATCGCGGTTCCCGTCTGTTCCGGGTGCGCCGACGAAAGCGACCGCCGACCGATCTGCCCCAGCAGATCTCGGCTCCCGGACCGATTGATGTACCCCAGCAGATTTTGGTACCCAGAATGCTGGGTCTACCATGGCAGTTCTCGGTTCCTGGCGCGAACCACCACAGGTATCCGACAACTGTGTTGTCAGTGCGGAATTGCCCCACAGCAGAGCGCATACGCCAGAAAGCGAAGATTTAATGAGGGCCACGTGCGCATAGCACGGAAGCAGGTCGTAGAGGACCACAACGGCGACTGCGGCACCGACCTCGCAGGCCTGGCATCGTATGTTCGGGGTTTCCCAGCCATTGGCAAGCCAGGTCACGCCGACGAGCACCACGACGATGATTCCAGGGCAGCTTCACTTCAGGTTTGTCAACCTGGTTGTTTCAGCGCTCGTCGGCACAGGCAACGGATCGCCATCTGGCCAATGCTCAAGCGACCCAGCCTACCAAGGTCGACGATCGCGATCACTTCCTCACCTGCGTCACGTCCATTGACCACAGCGCCGACATCATGGAGATATGCGGCGGGAAGCCTCTTTGTGCCCTCCCCTCCATCCCTCCCTCCCTCCTTCCCTTTTTCCCTCCCTCCCTCCGTTTCCCTTCCTCTCTGTAGCATTGGCTCGATGGCCCCATGGAGTCAGAGAGCGCCACTGTTGCCAAGACCCCGTCGCTCCCACACCCCGCAGCAATGGCGACACTAGATCGGGCGAAGACAACTGTGCACATGCGTCGCTTCTGGCCAGGCCCATCTTGGGCCCAGGATCGGTGCATATGCCTTCTTGGCCAAGGCAGGAGGGCATATGCACCGATCCTGGGCCCAGGATGGGCCTGGCCAGAACCGGTGTATATGCATGGTTCTCTTTTCTCTTTAGACCCTGGCCACCTTGCCCTGGCCACCGGCGGTGGCTGCTCCTCCCCTCTCCTTCGCCGCGGTCGCCATGTGGCTTCTGGACGCCGCGGCCCCCCGCCCCAGCATCGCTGCCGCCCATCCGGCGCGCGGCCTGCCCGAGGGCGATTCCGCGACGCCCCGCCGCGCGCGCGTTGCTGCAATCAGTCCTGCGGGATCCGACGTGCTGGCGGTGACCCGCAGCGACCTTGCCCACAGGGCCGCTGGCGCCGCGGCGGGCCGAGTCCACAGCGACCACCGCCCGCTCTGCTGCGGACCCACAGGGTCGGGGGCGGGCCCACATGGGGCGTCTTCATGGTTGGCTGGCGCGTTTGGCTTTGCCCCCCCCCCCTTCCCCCTTCCCCCCCCGCGGCCCCCCCGAAACCGCATCAGCGACGGCCTGCTGCGCACCGCTGGCGCAGAGGAGGGCACGCCGAACGAAACCGCTCTTTGACGGAACGCACCCCAGGAAGGACTCGAACAGGACAGGGCTGTTTCGTCAACCCCTTGGGCCGTTCAGCCAACGCGAAGTATGGTGTCGGGGTAGTTGCTCCTCTCTTGGGACCCCACACCTCCGAGCTTCTCCGGCTCGCACCTCTCCATTCCCAGCCCCTTAGCCATTCTCATCTTCCCGGCTCTTTCCGACTCCGGCTCCGCTTCCGTCTCCGACTTCCGCTCTTACCGGTCCGACTCCGGCTGTTTCTTGGCGGCCAACCCTTATCGGCGCCCTGGCGCCCACCCGCCGCACCCTCGTAGGTGTCTCGGCGTGGGCTCTGTCTGTCTGTCTGTCTGTCTGTCTGTCTGTCTGTCTGTCTGTCTGTCTGTTGAGACTCTCCACGCCACCGTGGAGGGCACGGAAGCGACAACGGGCGCACGTGAAACATCCTCATGTAGGACGGGTTGGTCCGTGCTGCCCGCGCTAAACTCTACGAGGAGGTGGGGTGGGGCAGGTGTGACAATCCGACATCTCACAGAATGAAGGGCGCCGCTGTCGCCGCTGCCGCCGCACCTTCTCTGGCACCGCCGACGCCGTCCCGCTCATCGCACTTGGCGCGGCCTGGAGCGTCCCAGCGACTGCTGCTCCCACTGGTGCGCGAGCGGGGGGCGCTCCTCTGCCAGATAAAGCCGCCAGCACGCTGCGTTGGCAATATGTTTGCTGGGCCTGGCCAGCGCGCACTGCGTGCGCGCGCTCATGGCCAGTCTCACCCTTTGTCGCGCGGCCGCGGACTTCAATCCGCAGCCCAGCCACATGAACGGCGTGGTCTGCCAGCTCGGAGGGGAGGAGGTGCGCTGCGGCCAGAGCATGGCGAAGGCCAAGCTGGACCCCGCGAAAACGGTCACGTGGCCTCGCGCTTCCCTTCACGAGCCTCTTCACAGGGCAGCTCTCTGGCGCTGCCCCCTTGAACGGCGCGAAGGTTGTTCCCGGGTAGGAGGTCCAGAAGGACTCTAGCCGGCGGTGGAACGACGACGAAGAACAACCGGGCAGATCAGGCGTTCGACGACGAGCTGCGTGACGCCGTCCGTGCGGTTTCGTGCGGTGGGAATTTCGGGTGGGGGGTCGGCCTGCCGGCGATATGTCGTGTCCGTAGCTGCCCTGGTACGCCCGTTTTGAGACGCAGCACGTTCCGTGTTCACAACGTCCGTGTTAACACTTCGCTTGTTGACTCAACGTGTTGGCCCACGTATTGGCGAACGTATCACGCCAAACGTACGCTTTCAACCTCCGTGTTGAGCTCCGTGTCAACACGCTACGGGTTGCGTCTTGCGTATCTGGTCGGCTAAGATCATACAGTGGAACCCCATGCCAAGAAGCACCCTGCCCGTCTCCAAGGGTGCCCAGGGTTTTTCTTGGGTTTCGATGGCTCTGCTATGGAAAGCGTGACGCTCCCACACCAACATCGATGGGCGTCCTGTGGGGTCTCAGGGTTGGGTTTCTTGTGTCGATTGTGCCTCGTGTGTCCACGTCTCCCAAGGCGGCACCTCCGGGGAACACACTGGAACGTCTGGCGCGTGCAGGGGCGCCGCCCGCAGGCGAGCGGCATCCTGACACGCCGCTGTTCGAGTAGGGGGTCAAGAACAGAATTGCGCTACAGTCGGACCGAGGCATGTGATCGAGGTCGGTTCGGCGAGGGTACCCTAGTGTTATTCGTGTTTGTTGGATGCTCTCGTGCATCCTGGGGAAGGTGGCCTTGGGTGTGCTTTTTGTCTTGGCCGACGGCGTGTCTCATATTCTTGAGGGGTGTTTTTCTGGCCTGGGTCCGACTGTACCCCAAAATTGAGTTCCCCGCCGATTGCGGAAGGAAAACGTAGAATGTTCGTAGATCTACGGGACATTGTACGCATTTTCCGTAGATCCAGAGGGGAAATCAACGTTGGAGTAAGTCAATTCTGTAGTCCATCCCCTACTCGAATTGTCGGCGCGACCCGTGGTCGACGTCACCACCTCCTCCGTCAAGCCGGGTATGCGGTGCAGCACCCCCGACCCCAGCCACCGCGGTGACACCCCGCCTGGCGGACCCAGCGCGAAGCACTTCTCGGACGGGGCTAGGGCGAGGAGAACTCCGTTCCAGAGCGCTCTGGAGCGTTCCGGAACGCTCTGAGAAGGCCGCTGCGCCCGAGACATCCTTCAGAGCCGCCGCATCTCAGAGATTCTCGATTTTATTTTCACCCGCAATTATCCTCGCTCTGGCTTCGTCTTAACTTCATCGTCTGGTCCAAGACCGAAGCCACCCTGATGGGCGCAGCACCGCCACGCGCTGGGAGAGACCACCCACGACAACGCCGTCGGGGTGGCGGGCCGCTAGCTTGCGCAGCGGTCGCGTCGTCCGAACCTGTGCGCGCTCTCGCTCTCTCTGTCTCTCTCTCTCTCTCTCTCTGTCTCTCTTTCTCTGTCTTCGCTCACCCCCCCTCCTGCCTTTCCTTTTTCGCGATCGTTTTCTTGTTCATGGCTTTGCCGATCGGCGCGGGCCCTCGCATCCCGCCTCCCACCCCCTCTCATGGAGTGGATCTTGGCTGTTTTTGGGCGCCTGTTTCGAGCAGGTGGCGTCTCCCCCGCATGACACACGGTTTCAAACCGTTGCACTGAGCAGAGGTCCAGAGCCAGACCCCCCCCCCTTTGCGCCCAGTGTCGAAACGCCGAACAAGAAAACGCTCATCTCCTCAGCTTTCGCCCCCCACCCCTGCAGCCCTCCCGGGCCGAGAAGACAGGAAAGCGGAGGATTCCGAAGCGCCACGCGTTCCGTGAGGTCAAGGGTTTCGGCTGTCCGGTGCTCGGCGGCCTTCCCTTAAGGGGTTTCTGCGTGTCTCTCTGGAGGCCTCCCGCCGAGACGACGTGCTCAATGCGTGGCCCCAGAGGTTCGGACCCCTCTTCCCCGTGTTTTCTGCTCCAGATTCGGCGTCACCCCAACAGACTCATTTTCGGAGGTTGATAGAGCTCCTGCCCTGACACGTCGATTAGCGGATTGGCTCAAGGTGTGTGCTCAAGGGCATTCTCGCGTTCTCCAGGTCCTTGCGGGATACTCCGTGCTGCTCAAGCATACTGCTTACTGTACTCAACCTTCTCACTGTTACTCACATTTGATATCACTGCTGATTCTTGTCTGTGCAGGATGTCGTCGGAAGGGAGTTCGGCAGGAGGGGTGGGCAGGAAATTGAAACCGTCGGGTAGCAACCCTGATGCCCCGGAGAAGAAGTCGGCGAGGATGGAAGCAGCGATGACAGAAGGAGTGGAGAATGACGATGAACGTGAGGCGCCAATGCCGAGCTGGGCACGAAGGCTGATGGATAAGATGGACGGGGTCAAGAGCACAGTGGATGGGATGACAGACGACGTAGACAGGGCGGTGGCAGAGGCAGCTGAGGCCAAAACATAGGCGAAGCAGGCGTCACTCGCCGTCAAGGAGCTTGAGGAGAACATGGTCACGAAGCAGGAGTTGCCCGAGCTGGTCAAAGGCCTCTTGCAGGAGGGTCCGACGATTGCCGGCGGCGTGCAGGTTGCGGGCGACCCAGAGCCAGTCATTTTTGGTGGCTTGAAGGGTGCAGGCGCAGTGGAGGAGGCGGAGAAGTGGGTGAACAACATGCTCACTACCGCAGGCCTGCCATGCATCATCAACCCATACATCAAGAGCGAGAGTTTCGATAATCTCATGTTTGCACAGCTTCCTTCCAAGAAGACTGCTGACGCGGCAATCTAAGTTTTTCGGCGGAATTAGGCTACATCCAAGGAGGCCATAGTTTGGTACAGTATCGACCGCCCCCTGCAGGTACGTATCTCCCTCAAGCCCTATTTCAAGCTCAAGAAAATCTTATGCGGTTGGGGGTTCCACAAACGCAACATAACGGTCGATGACGAGAACGCCGTTTTAAAAGTGGGTGGAACGATTGTTGCCAAAGCGCAGGTGCATGGGGGAGCTCTGGCGGTCGAATGGCCGAGCACGGAGTGGAAGGACTGGAAGGAGTTGCAGGACTCGCAGGAGCTCAAGGACTTGATCCAGCAATGCCAGACCGACTTGGCATCAGCGTACATCAAGCAGCGCAAAGGGCTGGGCAAAGGGAAACCCCTGCCAGCCTGACTATCAGAAGCAAGCCCAAGGAGCCGGGTACATGGGGCCGGCATGCATACGAATTCGGGGACTATGAGTACGGGCGGCGGACTCGGAAGGTATGTTCGAGCGGATGGCGATTTCCTGCATGTTTACAACGTGCGGGCTCCGGCCAGGAGGGGGACGTGGCAGCACTCGGGGAAACCCGGCAGAGTAATACCAGTTACACCATTGTTACATACAGTGTACATTCTATGATGTTGATTGAAGATCGCTTGGAACGGTGCTTAATCGAACTTGGCGGTCGCAGGTGGGATATCATTGCTTTCACAGACGTGGAGGGAAACACATGGACATCATTGGTTTGGGGGCGGGGGGGCGTCTCGCAGTGCTGGTGTCGGTTTTCTGTTACATCGACGGTGGGACTGCGTGATGTTCGCGGCCGTGTCCAACCGCATTGCGACTTTGGACGTCTGCGTGCTATCATTGGGTCGAGTACGTTTCGTAGTTGTGTACATGCCACACGCTGCGCAGCGATAGTGAGGTGGACGCTATGTATGATGAGATTCGTAGGGGACGCCGGGATGCGCAGAGGAAGGGCTATCATATCGCTATTGCTGGAGACCTTAACGCAGATATTGGCGCAAGACGGGAGGATGACGACTACGGAGTGAATGGCAACAATTTTATGGGTGATAGAACAGATCGGGGTTCGTTATTATTACACACGTGCTCGATGGAAGAGCTCTCCATTGCCAATTCTTTCTTTTCCGAGAGCTTCGAGACATCGTGGACGTACCGCAACGGGGAAACACGCTCTCATCTTGACTATCTCTTGTTGGACAGACGGTTGTTTTCTTTGACACGACATTCTCATGTTGCCGCCGGTGTTGACATTGGTTCAGATCATCGGCCCGTGTTTGCGGAGATTTCTGTCCCAGACGACGCTCCTCGGAGGCGGCGTGCGAAACGAGCGAGACGGGCGACGCCCTGGCAGCCAAGCAGCCGCTATCGGGATATACGGGAGCGGTGTCTGCAAGAAGTGCCGTGGCAAGAATGCAGCGCAGCAGAACGCATTGTCAATTTGAGTTGTTGTCTGGCCAAGGCAGCTACTGAGGACGAGGAGCAGAGCCCGGATGTTGATGAAGCGCATGACCCAAGCGACGCCACTTCCACAATCCATCACCTCATCGATGCTCGGCGGGCCAGTGCGCAATCGGATCTGCCACAGACGGAAAAGAAAGCGTTGAGAATTAGCATTGGAAAGAGGGTGCAGTCGTTGGTTCGCCATCGCCGGATTCTGGAGCAAACTGAAAAAATCGATAAGATTTTATTTCATTTCCGCGATGTCAAGCATATTCTTTCCATAGCGAGCGGGCGTCGGAAGTCCCGCGTCACCGAGATGAGGGACAAAGCTGGCCAACTCGTGAACGAGAAGCATGATGCCGCAGAAGTGTTTGCGCAATTCTACGAAGAGCTGAACGCGAGCACCCGGCCAGAGCACTCGCATAATACATATTCTCCTGTTGGTGGCAACCGAGTGCCACCGTTCACCATGGAAGAACTGAAAGCAGCGATACGCCAACTGAAGCTTCATAAAGCCGCTGACGACAATGGAGTGAGAGCAGAGCTGATTAAGACTGACTCTGCGGTCTTGCGAGATCTGCTGCTGGACACGTTCAACGAGATCCTGAACCCATCTGCAGACTTACCGACTGGTTGGCTCCGGGCTCGCAGCACAGTGCTCTACAAGAAGGGGGGCTCTTCTTCACCGTCGAATTATCGCCCCATTGCAATCTAAGAGATCCTATGCAAATTGTTCAGCCGAGTGCCATGCGAAAGGCTGAGACCCACCATCGCGAGCAGACCAGGCTGCGTATCGGAAAGGATATGAAACCATAGACCACTTGTTGACAACAACGTTACTCGTGGAGGCATGCAACGAGTTCAACGCGCCGCTTTGGATCTGCCTGGTTGATTTCGAGAAGGCCTTCGACACAGTCGAACACGAGTCTGTGGGAAGCACTGGCAGAACAGAACGTGGGACATGAATATATTAACATGCTCAAGCGATTGCATGCCAAACAGTCGGCGTGCGCCACGGCCGGCGCCAAAAGCAGAATGTTTGACATCTTCCGCGGTGTTAAGCAAGGCGATCCTAGTAGTTCTTTATTATTTGTCGTCGTCATGGAGGCAGTTTTCCGGAAGCTGAAGGTGCGATGGGCGAGCTTGAACCATAAGCGTTGTGGATCGTACTGCGGCATGGTCATTGACAGCCCCGGCGACCCCCTCGCCAATCTCAGATTTGCTGATGATGTGTTGCCGGCGGCATCCTCTGCCAGAGATTTGTCAAGAATGCTTGTTGATCTGGAGACGGAGGCGCGCAGATGCGGTCTCAGAGTGCATATGGGCACAACAGTAATTCTGACGAACGTCGACAACAGGCCGGCCACTCTGCTGTGCGGTGGTCATAATGTGCGAGTGCTTCAACATGGTCAGTCTGGGAAATACGCGGGGCGTAAGTTGTCTTTGGATTCTTATCGTGAGACGGAGCTGCAGTACAGCATTGGGCGTGGCTGGGCAGCATTCGCAAAGCACAAGTTCACGTTCTGCAGCCGGCGCATAAAGTTGCAACGCCGCATGCGGTTGTTCCAAGCAACCGTTGCGCCGTGTGTGATGTATGGCTCTGGTGCATGGACGCTCGCATCGGAACAGCAGCGACAACTGCAGAATGCGCAGCGACGGATGCTCAGAATGATTCTTGGTGCACGGCGGCTCCCTGACGAAGATTGGGTAGGTTTTATCAAACGGTCTACTTCTGCAGCGTTGGACATTGCTCATAAATGCGGCGTGCGTGATTGGGTTGATGGTTTTCAAGATACCAAGAGGCGTCTCCGCGATAAGATGCAATCGGCCTCTGGCGGGCGTTGTGGGACGAGGCTATTGGACTGGCACCACCCGCGGTACCGCGCACATGCCCGGCGACACGTTGGGCGGCAGCGGAAACGTTGGCAAGACACCTGGGAGCACATGTGAGGGATGCGCGCGGCCCGGCGTCATGCAGGGGCAGACTCTTCTGCCCTACGGGCCCTCTCTCTCTCTCTCTCTCTCTCTCTCTCTCTCTCTCTCTCTCTCTCTCTCTCTCTCTCTCTCTCTCTCTCTCTCTCTCTCTCTCTCTCTCTCTCTCTCTCTCTCTCTCTCGCTCTCTCTCTCCCGTTTTCGGTTCGTGAGAGGGCGTCGCGGCCGTCATTTTTGCGGGTCCAGGTCCGTCGGTTTCATCCCCAGGCCGTTTTCACTCAGGGGAGGCTTACTAAAGGGAGTTTTGTCCATCGCCGAAATATCACGCGTGCGTCGCCCCCACCCCAAGGGCGACGCGCGCTTCGAGGAATATCACAGTCGATGCGTCGTGGCAGGCATTTGTTGGCCACACCGCTCGGGAAACGATGCGCTACAAGCTGGGTATAATGTTCGGGTCGGACGCGCGCCCCCAAGGAGGACATATAGTACTACCAGAATGTCTTTGCGCGTCCCACAGATCCGTTTATTTATGATGTTCGCGGGGTCCGAAACGGCTTCCGATGGAAGAAATCCAGACCAACAAGCTCCGATCGAACAGATCAGGCACTCGGAGATCTGAGGTCGTCGTTGCCGAGGCCTCGGGCTGCGCGCAGATGGCCCTCCCAGGCGGTCCCAGCCTGCATTGATAGGCCTTCCGAGTAGTTCTCCGCGGTCTCAACACGTCAACCCTAGGGCTCGGGCGCACAGTGGCGCCGCCGGAGGCAGCGCCAGCGTGCTTCAGGAGGGAAAACAATAACACAGACACAATTATTCGTCGATTCTCAGAAAATATAAGAGAATATGGGAAGTGGGGGGGGGAAGACAGAAACCCAGAACATGCGGGGAAATATGGGGGATCTTTTTTATTTGTGTGTATTTATTTGTGTGTCCCAGGGCCCCTTCAGCGTTGAGACCGCCCTGGACTGCTCGGGGAACTCGCGGAGGCCAGCGGGGGCTACCCGGGAGGGCCGTCTGTGCGCAGGCCGAAGCCTTACCACCCCCAACCTTTGTGGGCCCTGGAAACGGCAGGGCCGTTTATTAACCGTTTCCAAAAGAATGCCCCTTGAAAATGGAAACGGCAAACAAAAACGGCGATCGGAACCTGCAAAAAAACGGTTCCACGATTGGAACCTGAGCCGGAACCGGTCAAGACACGGCGACGGAACCGGTAAAAAAACGGCGTCGGAACCGGAAAAAAAACGGCAGAACCGAACCGGTAACAAAAACGGCCCTGTCGTTTCCAGGGCCCACTAAGCCCCCACCCCCCCAGAGTTGCGACGTGTTATCATGCTCCATCGTACTTTAGCATTGCTCACCAGACAGCATTTTGATCACCAAGAAAGTATCGAAACTGAAGGGTTTTCACGTGTCGGGCCCTGGGAGGCGACACGCCTTCGGCACTGTTTCGATCATTCCCTGGGTGCTCGGAAGCATTTCTGGGATGTGGTCCTTAAGTGCGATAGGAGCAACGTGAGCGACGTGTTGAGTTTTCAATGCGGGGCCCCTGAAAATCCCGACCCTTTCCCCAGGGCTGGTTTCTCGCATCCCGAGTCTTGGCATCGCTCGGACGTGTGCATTTTTCTTTCGGCGAGGACCATCGAGGAGCATCCTTGATCATGTGGCGAAAAAACCACGCACGAATCCAAAAACACACATGGAATTGACGTCCGACAATGGCCAGGAGTCGTTGTCGACGGTCCTGTGGCCCGGCCTGGGCCTCTGGAGGTCGAGAAACCAGCGAAAAGCCCACCGTCGTGCTTCTTGACGACGCGAGTTTCCTGGCAATCCTCCCTTGTCATGTTTTGGGGGCGGCAAAGAGGGGGGTGATGACAAGGGGGGGGTGGATATCATGGCGGGGGCCATGATATTTCCCCCGATTTTATGGCGCCTCTTCTTATTTCATTACGTCTCTGGCCCCGCTGCTGGGCCGCGCACGTGCCGCCGGTC